TCCTATTATAATGTAACGTTAATTCTAGTGGGGGAAATACATGTTTGTCAGACAGTGTTAAATACTATGGAGAAAAATTAAGTTGGGCTGCAGGGGAGAAGAGAAAGGGAAGAATCTATTAATCACCATTGTTGTGTAACAAATTATCCTGAAATGTAGAGTTTAGGATAATAAACATTTATGAACTTTATGTATTAATTGTATTACATTCCTGTGGTTCAGTAATTTGAGTGGTTTAGCTGTGTCTCTCAGTCTCTCTCATAGGTTGTAGTAAAAATGTTGGCCAGGGCTGTAGCCATTTGAAGATTTGCGTGGGGTTGGAAGATCCACATCCAAGAGAGCTCACTTCCATAGCTGTTTTAGTGGGAGGCCTCAGGTGGGCCTCTCATAGGGCTGCTTGAGTGTCCTTCTAATTTGTCAGAGTGAGTGACCCAGGAGAAAAAAAGAGGTAGCAATTATTTTTATGACCTAGTCTTGGAAGTCACACACTGCCACTTCTGTCATATATTATTGCTAAAAGTATAGAACTAAGTGTAACTCATACTCATGGGGTAAGGGGGCTGACTACGTTCCTCATGAATGGAGGAGCATCAAAAATGTGGATGTATTTGAAAACCAAGGTCCCTAGATGACACAAATGGTTTGGCATTTGAATCCACTCAGTATACTTACTACAAAAGAAAAGGCCTGGCTATGTGACTTTGTGAAGATTATAGCCAAGAACACTCTATGGATCATTTCCATGAGTTGGAATCTACTTAAAGGCAACTAACATTTTAAAACCACTACTGAAAGGCTGCTATTATGCTAATTATTAAGGGAAGGACTCACTGAGCCCTATTAAGGGATTCAAGAGAAAGAGAAAGTCATGTAAATATTTAGGGAAGAAGAATGTAGTTAGGAAAAGAGTAGATGCAAACATCCTGGGGTAGAAGTTTGTTTGATGTGCTGGAAGAAAAGCAAGGAGGTCATTGGGCCAGAAAAGGGTGGCCAACAGGTGAGTAGTCAGAAATTTGATCAGAGGTTATACAGGCCTTAGAGCAGGTCCTTGGAGGTGTTGAAAGGACTGTGTAAGTCATTGGAAGTTTCTGAGCAGATAGTCAAAGTCTAACTCTGACTGCTGACTGGCTCCACACAGGATACAAGGATAAGGACTAGTAAGGAGACCACTGCAGTAGTTCAGGAAAGAGAAGATGGTAGCTGTTTTGGATTGAATTGTGTCCCCACAAAATATGTGTTGTAAATCCCAACCCCTATATTTGGGAATGGGTTTTCTTTTTATGTTAATTAAGACAGGATTAGTGTAGGGTATGTTTTGAGACAATCTCTTTTGACATAAAGAAGAGATTAAAGAAGCAAACAGAGAAGCAGAGATGGGAGAAGATTCCTAGTCACAAGAAAATTGTCCAGGAGCAGACACTCAAAAGAGAAGGACCTTCCTCCAAAGCCAACCAAGAGAGAAAGATTTCCCCTAGAGCTTTAAGCTTCCTCAACTATGAGATTATACATTTCGGTTTATTAAAGCTGTCCACTTGTGGTCTTTCTGTTATAGCAGCACTAGATAACAAAGACCGTGACTTAGATCAGGGTGGTAGTCGTGGAGGTGGCAAGAAGTCGATAGATTCTAGATATGTTCTGAAGAGAAAACAGATAGGATTAGTTGATGGTTAGGATATGAGATGTGAGAAAAGAAGAGGTATTGAGGATAACGCCACAGCTTTTGAACTGGGCAGCTGCGTAAACAGAGGTGCTCGTAACTGAGATAGTTAAGACTGCAGGAAGGGCAGGAGTGGAAGAGAAATCAGTACCTTCTAGACATTTTAGGTTTGAAATGCTTATTAGATGTCTAAGTGGAGATGTTAATGGAGTCGGAAGCAGTCTGATAACTGAATCAAGAACTCAGGGAAGATATTTAGGCTAGACACAAAAAACTGGGAGTCAAAACATATATTGTTGTTAGGTGCTATTGAGTCAGTTCTGATCCATAGCAATCCTATGAACAAAACACCGCCCAGTCCTGCACTATCCTCACAATTGCTGCTACACTTGAGCCCATTGCTGCTGCCACCATGCCATTCCATCTTCTTGGGGTCTTCCTCTTTTTCACAGACCCTCCACTTTACCAAGCATGATGTTCCTCCTGATAATATGTCTGAAGTATGAGCATTCTGATTGTGCTTCTTCCAATACAGATTTGTTTATTCTTCTGGCAGTCCATGGTACCTTTAATATTCCTCTCCAACACCATAACTGAAATGCATCAGTTCTTTCTTATTCATTGTCCAACTTTTGCACGCATATGAGGTTATTGACAATACCATGGCTTCAATGAGGCGCACCTTAGTCCTCAGACTGATATCTTTGCTAGTGAACACTTAGAAGAAATCTTGTGCAGCAGATTTGCCTAATGCAATATGTTGTTTGAGTTCTTGACTGCTGCTTCCATGAGTGTTGATGGTGGATCCAAGCAAAATGAAGTCTTTGACAATTTCAATCTTTTCTCCATTTGTGATGTTATTTATTGGTCCAGAGATGAGCATTTTTTGCTTCCAATGAGGAAGGTCAAAGGCTGTAGTCTTTGATCTTCATCAAATTTTAAGTCCTTTTCACTTTCAGCAAGCAAGTTTGTATCATCTGAATATTGCTAATTTGAAAATATTGTTAATATTTTCCTCCAATCTTGATGCCACATTCTTCTTTATATAATCCACCTTCTCAAATTATTTGCTCAGCATATCGATTGAGTAAATATGATGAAAGAAAACAACCCTGGCACACACCTTTCCTGATTTTAAACCATTCAGCGTTCCCTTTGCTCTGTTCAAACAACTGCCTCTTGGTCTGTGTGCAGGTTCCTCATAAGGACTATTAAGTGCTCTAGAATACTCATTCTCTGCAATGTTGTTTACAGCTTATCATGATCCACACAATCAAAACATATATATGGTATTTAAAGTCATTGAGAAATGGTTGAGATCACCTGAGAGAGGATGTGGATAGAAAAGAGGTTTCAGACTAAGCCCTGGCAAGTCAGGGGCTGCAGAGATAAGGATTCAGCAAAAGGGTCAATGAAGAAAAAGGAGTGGTGTCCTGATGCCAAAAGAAGAGGGATGACTTTGCAACCCCTGCTCAATGGAGTGACCCTAGCCAAGGCCTGTTATGGTGGGTGATGGTAGTGATTCTGGAGAGCTACTTTACCTGGGTCACACATTCATTCAGGGTCACGAATTTTGGATTGTTGTTTCTTTCCAAAATGAGATAATACAGGTAGCCTTTTTGTAAATTATCGGTTATCGGTAAGTACCATGGAGTCAGTTCCCACTCATAGTGGCCCTGCACAGGGTTTCCGAGGCTGTAAATCTTTACGGGAGCAGAAAGCCTCATCTTTCTCCTGTGGAACCGCTGGTAGTTTTGAACTGCTGACCTTGAGGTTGGCAACCCGACGTTACCACTACGCTACCAGAGCTCCTTATATTAATTAGAATGTCAAACTTTTATGCCCGTGTTTATTTCCTTTTTTATATTCCAGGAACCTTAAGAATTGGGAATAGCAAGAGCCTTACTCAGCTTCAGAGCAGGGTTGGAACTAGGGGTGAAACAAGTGCACGGTTCCTGGGAGTGAGTGCTTCTTGCACCTTAGGTAGGCTATCTGGCATCAAGCTTGTCCTGGTTTTATCATACTTCCAAGTTATGTGCATGCTTCCCACCCAGTAGTAAGTGGTGGGAACCTGAAGAAGGCAGATTCGAAATGGGAGGATTCCTGCTGTGGGTGAAGGTGGATATAATCCAGAGCTCCAAAATAGCAGGAGTAAATGCTAAATATGCCTTTTGCAGCTGAAAAATGGGTGCACACTGCCACCCTGTGGCCATCCAAGGAAAGACATAGATTCTTAGGGGTCGTCTCAAAACACTAGTGCAAGCAAGCCTTTCCAAAGCACACTTCACCCAGCCCTGAAGTTCTAATTGTGACATTCACAGCTATTGTGGAGTGGCTCTTATTAAACAAGCTGATCGTAAGACCTCAACCCAAAACTGTTATCTGAGGATTGGGCCCAAGAATCTGTGGCAAATGAGTTTTCTAGGTGATTCTATAGACACTCAAGTTTGAGTCCCTACTAGTCTATAGTCACTGTCATAGAGATTAAGGGAAACTAAAGCATTCAGTAAGGGAGAGGCCGTTCCTAGGTCCCTTGGGAGTTCGCAGCTCTTTCTGCTGCTCAGACACACAGAGAAATGAATGGTTTGACAAGTTGTCTTTATTAACATAGACAGACAGACAATGCAGCAGGGAATGTCTGCAAGCTGTGATGGGGTAGGGAGGGCAGAGGGTGCAGAGCAGGTCTTCTCTAGGCTAGGGCTGGCCCTTAGGACACAGGCCCCTCTTCAAGTCCTCTATCCAGTAGTGAGCTCTAGGCTGTTGTCAACCTCCCATCATAGCCCCAAGAGGAGAATGGGGGTCCTTCAGGGAGGTCCGGTTCTAACCTTAGCATTCTCCAAGTTCCTCGGGTTCCTCAGCTGATTTGGTTGCTGAGGGGGTAGGGGACAGTTCACGGGGCACTTGCATAGCAAGAAAGCAGAATGGGGATAAGGCATATGGTGAGGGAAGGGAAGATAAAGGGGAAGGACATCGAGCTGTGGGGAATGAAGGCCTCCAAGGGTAGCTCCTCTTCCTCTAACCCCTCCAAATTACTGCTAGGTTCAGGAGTCAAAGCCAGGTAGAGAGAGTATAATACCCACCCCCATTCCTAACTCCAGAGCCTTGACTGAGAGTGGGAAAGCTTTAGAAAGGCCTGAGTTAATGTGTCAAGCTTATGGAATATGTGTTTGAACATGACAGTCCCTCTTGGTATATGTGAGGATCCCTCTCTCTCGATGGGCGTGATCTCATGGTTGTTGCTATAAACACAGATTCCAGTATCTGTGTTTCATATATTCCCCCGGGTCTGTGTTTGGGTGTATAAGCATGTACGTCCCCGCTTATACACCAGGAACTCAGTATCTGTATGGTATGAAGATGTTCCTGTCTGTACATATGGGCTCCAACAAGTAGATGCATAGGGGCCTGCCCACCCACAGGTCCTTCTTCAGGCCCGGCTGGTCAAGAATCTTGGCCGAAGAGGTAGGTGGTGAGCTCAAGTCGGAGTCCCCGGGCATAGGCTCGAAGACTATAGAAGAGGGTGAGGAAGTCCTGGGTGCTGAAGACTGTGTCAGCCAGGGCGAAGGCCAGAGTAGATGGAATGACACCTCGACCATACTCCACCATCCACGTGTTTGGTCCCCACTCCACAGCAGTAGCCTCTCCAGGTCCGTGCATCACTGTCTCCCCTGAGGGACAGGGAGCACCCATGTGAAAAGCCCAGCTCAGCCCTGACCCGCTATTGATGCCTCTTCTATGGCCTGGTTTCCCATCTGGACGGGTAAGAAGCCCAGGAAGTTAATCCTGTATATTCCTCTCTGGCATCACCTAGCCTGTGTCTTCTCTTGGGGGAAGACATGGAGGGCTACAGGGAATGGGACCCACTTCACCTCCATCTCACCTGGCTATGGGTCACGGTTTGAGAATCATGAAAGTCTATATTCTCAAGTCTCAGAAACTTAACAAACCTTGGGCTGGGCCAGTAAGATAAGGAAAGCAAAAAACCCACAGCCATTGAGTTGATTCTGACTCATGCTGTTGTTAAGTGCTGTTGAGTCAGTTCCAACCCACAGCGACCCTGAACAGGGTTTCTGAGGCTGTAAATCTTTACGGGAGCAGAAAGCCTCCTCTTTCTCCCGCGGAGCAGCTAGTAGTTTCGAACTGCTGACCTTGTGGTTCACAGCCCAATTCATAACCACTACGCTACCAGAGCTCCTTATATATACAGTTTCTAAGACTGTAAATCTTTACAGGAGCAGAAAACCTCATCTTGACCTTGTGGTTAGCAGCCCAACACCTAACCCACAGCACCACCAGTATGGCTAAAAGACTTGTGAGGCTTTCAGAAAAGTGTAGCTATAAAATCCCAATGCCTGTGATTTATATCAATCAACCTCCAACTTACTTGAAAGTCTAAAGTTCAACTTTCTATGTAAAATGCTTCATTGTAAAAGAAGACAACTGTCTGCCTTGGGGCTACGATATCATTTCTAATTACCAAACGGTATTCTCAACAACTGGTGGGATATTGGCTGAGGAAAATAAAGAGTGTCTAGAGGAAGAACCCCAACGAGATGGATTGGCCAAGTAGCAGCATCGATGGACTCAAGCGTGGCAACAGTAGTGAGGTAGGCCCAGGATGGGGCAGTGTTTCATTCTGCTGTGCATAAGGTCACTATGGGTCGGTACTGACTCAATGGCACCTAACAACAACAACAAGGGTCCTAGTGTGGTACTTATAGGATCAGCACTGGACTGCTAACCATAAGGTTGGAGATTTAAACCCACCAGCCACTTGTTGGAAACCCTATACAGGGTCACTATTGAGTCAGAACTGACTCAATAGCATTTAACAACAGACAAAGGTAGCATGATAGTTCTGTAGGATAAGCACTGGACTGCAAATCACAAAGTCAGTGGTTCGAGCCACCAGCCGCTCCTTGGGAGAAAGATGAGGCTTTCTGCTCTTGCAGAGAATTACAGCCTCTGAAACTCTATACAGAGTCCCTATGAGTTGGAACTGGCTTGACTGCACTTAACAACAAGGGCAAGACAAGAAGCTAAAAATCAGATATGTTTACCAGGAAGCCATTATGTCGTTTCCCTTTGACAGAGGAAGGCAACAGGCCCTCAGCCCTGCCCTAACCATCCAACCACTTGTGACTTACCTGGTGGTAAGGAAACTGCAGAGAGGACCCTCGAACACACTCCTTTCCCATCACCTCCCTCACCTGTAGACATACCCTGGGTGAAGGAGGGGGACCCAAATCCCTGACATAACTTTTTTACCAACCTGGATAGAAGACCTCACTTTTGGTGGTACCCTCTCTCCACTGGTGAAAGGTACCAGAGATGATGGTGTCCGAGATCTCAGCCCAATAGCGCCCTGAAGAACAATAAGATGAACACAATTATCAGGGTATTCACACCATCACATAGTCACGTCAAACGTCAAACTGAGGGCTTGCCCCCAGCTTCCCAGTCCGGCCCACGGCTAGTACTGACCAGAGTGGCCTCCGGAGCCCAGCGCGGTGCCAAAGAGCAGCACATACTCGGACAGCGAGGCGTGCAGAAGGCACATGGCGCCCATCCAGCCACCAGCGTTCACGAACACCCATTGCAGCTCCTCGTCGGGCAGCACGTGGCCTGGGTGCAGTCGCCGCAGCTCCACAATCAGCCGAGAGAAGGCCAGCTCGTGGTCCAGTCCTGATGTGGGCAGAGGAGCGGCAGAATCAGGGCCTGCTGGCACCGGTCCTGAACTCAGAGACCGCACCCACAGCCGTCCACCTCCAGACCTGCCTCCGTTACGCACCGCGATCCACCCCGGCTCGAGCTGGACCGTCCCACCCCCTCCAGTCTCCCCTCCCCGCCCGCTCACCCGCATACTGTCTAGCCAGCTGCGCGATCTCTTCGTGCTGGAAGACGAAGCTCTGTGAACCTAGCCAGAGCCAGACGACTTGCGCCAGCACAGCCGCGGCAGCTAGAAGCAGTGCGGCCCACACCCACCGCCGACCCACGGCCCACTGCATCCCGGTTGGTGGCCTGGCACAGTGCGACGCAGGAAGCGTCAGCGCACGGAGCCTGAGTCTGTGGCCGTGACACCGCCTCAGAGCCCGCTCCGCCGCCACCGGCGGAGTATAGAGCGCTCTGACCAATCAGAACGGTCCAGACCTTGGGCCTCGTCCCCTCGGCCGAGCCATTTCCTCTATGGGAGCGCGGAGAGTTGAGGCAGCGCGCGCACTTGAGGATAGGGGGCGGGGCCAAACCATCCAAGCAGCTGACTTCCGGGATGCTAGGCAGGGTCCCTCCTGACGCAAAACTGCGTGGAGTTGGTTTATAAGGTGGTGAGAACCGGAACAGACTGGCTCGCTTCATTGTACAGGCTGGTGAAGCCGGCGATCCCGGAAGCAGAGCTTCCCGGTATCCTCGATTATTAAAACTCAACTCGCTTTGCTAGCACAGAACCTGGGAAGGCAATTCAACCTGGGGGCGTAGGGAAGGCTGGCGGAGACACCAGAACTGTGTTTTAAGAAAGATGGGAACTTAGGGTGAATCAGGCATTGGTAATAGAAAATTTGGCAAATACCATTGATTGCAGCATAACATTGTTGGTGTAATTGGTGTCACCGAATTATTTTCTTACATCAATTTATATATATATGAGAAACGGACTCTTGGTGTGGCGCTGTAGGGACATCACTGAGCTGGGACCCAACCACAAGGTCGGAGATTCAAACCCACCAGAGGCCCTTGGACAACGACCTATTGTTGTTAAGCGCGATCAAATAGATTCCGACCCATAGCGACCCTGTATAGGGTTTCCGAGGAGAGGGTTGCTATGAGTCGGAACCGACTCTACAGCACTATACAACAACATATGTGAAAGGCACTCCAATTTAAGGAGTTTAGGGGACCAAGACAAAGGCACAAAGGGTAAAGGCAACATGGGGTCTCCCAAAAAAACAAACCAAACCCATTGCTCCTCAAGTCCCACTCATAATGATCTCAAGGACAGAGAACTGCCCCGTAAGGTTTTCAAGGCTGTAAATAGGAAGCAGAGTGCCACATTTTTCTCTCACAGAGTAGCTGGTGGGTGGTCGAGCACTATCCACTGGGCGCCAGGACTCACATGAGTCTCCAGGAGCCTACAATGCATTTTTTTGTTCTGAAGCACAACATGTGAGATGAGATCAGATTTGGGGCTATAAACTAGAGATTAAATGGAGGGAGCAAGGTGAGTCAGACATGACTATGGTCCAATTGAGAGAGACGATCTGTATCAGTAGAGAAAGAAAAACAAAAACCTTGAGAAATACTTTGGAAAGAGAGTTGGCAGGAATTGCTTCTTCCTGGAATGTTCTTTTCCCTTCATCCTAACTTCCCCTTACTTGGCTAACATCTTTGTTCATGTCCAATAGGGAGTTGAGTATCCTGGTCTGGTCTGGAGCTCAGGTACAGTTTGGAGATAGAGAGCTAGAAGTTGTCATTCATTCAAGCATCAGATGTTGTTGTTGTCATGTGCGGTGGAGTCGGTTCCGACTCATAGCAACCCTGTATAGAGTTTCCGAGGCTGTAAATCTTTACGGGAGCAGAAAGCCTCATCTTTCTCCCGCAGAATAGCTGGTAGTTTCGAACTGCTGACCCTGAGGATAGCAGCCCAATTTGTAACCACTAGGCTTCCAGAGCTCCTCAAGCATCAGATATGCCTGTATATTTCAAGTGGTGGCTGATATGGCCATGAATAATGCAAGCATAATTCTCACCTGTGAGTGATCTCACTGGGGAACCTATAGAAAATCACACTGGGAGGGATAATAGGAAAAATGAAACCAAGGATAGAGTCATGGAGAACACCAACATTTAAGGAATAGGCAGAGGGTAAAGAGATAAAAAAAAGAAGCAAAAGAAAGTAAGGGGGCAGCATGGCACAATGATTACGAAATAAAGTCTGGAAGTGGACTGCATGGGTTCTAAGCCCAATTCCTACTACCTATTACTTGTGTAATCTTGAACAAATTACGGTCACTCTATGACCTAATTTCCTCAACTGTAAAACAGGATAAATAGAAGAACCTACCTCACAAGCCTGTTAGGATTAAATGAGCTAATATTCATAAAGTATTTAACACTTGACAGGTGATGAGTGTTATATTATGCTAGTAGTCAAAATATAAAGGAGAAGAGAACTGGAAAAGAGTAGTCCCCCACACATGGGAGTGATAGAGTGAAGAAGGGTCAAATGTAATTGAGAGGTCAAATAAGATAATGGGAAACAGCCATTAGATTTCTTAGTAAGGACATGTGGCAGAGACAATGCTATACATTCACAAATCCTATTCATCTCAAACAGGTTACATTCCACAGTCTATTTTGCAGTTATGTGGAACCATGTGATAGACAGAAATAACATATGCCACTTACAGGTCAGGCTCCTAAAATCTCCCGTGAAAGTACTTACCTTCTTTTTCTTGTCTATTGTCTTAGAAACAGAGGATCTAGTGGAGATTTCTGAGGCTCTAAGAAGTGGCAGAGCCATTAGATGGATGAAGCCTGGATCCCTGAATGCTGTATGAAACAGAAGCGCCCCTCCCCTCCAGTGAACTGTGGTGCTAAGTCATTGAGTTTTGGGGGCTGTTTGTTACAGCAACAGAGATTACTTACCCTGACTAATAGGTAAGAGTAGAGGCTGTGAAGATAAACTATGTATTTCGAGAAGCTTGGGCTAGAAGGGAAAGAAAGAAGCCAGTATCCAGAGGAGAATGCAGGATCGAGGGAAGATGATTTTGTACGGACATTGACTTCTGTGACACTTCTGAGCTGACCAGTCTCTAAGAAGCCTGGGCAGCAAGTCTAACCCCCAAACCTGACTGCTGTCCCCTGTTTCAGGAAAAAACTCACTGGAGTTATTTGTGACTGGCATTTCCTCTGTCTGGTATTTCAAAAAATTTCTACACCACACTTTTAAAAAAGGGTGTGTTCTATGGCCTAATAAGTGTCCATGACCCCAGGAAAGGGGTTGAGGGACTGGGACTCACAGCCATCTTTCCACAGATGCCACAGTAGAGATTATGTCTCAGGAATCTAGGGGTGGGGGTGGGGAGAGGGCTAGGTAGGTTCCATTCCAGCCATTCCATTGGGGAGACATAGAGAGGTGAGAGGTTTGGAGATGTTTTTGAAAGATGTTTCTGAATGAGGTTAAGGTTAGTTTGCATGATCCAGGAGGGAGTGGCATTAAAAGCTCTAGTGTTTCTGTTTGTTTGTTTTTTGTTAACTTTTTATTGTGAAGGGAGTGAAGTTTTCCAGAGCAGATAATCAGTTTCACATTCAGCAAATCATAAACTTGCTTCATTACAATGCTTGCATCCTCTCCATATACCAACAGAGCATTTACCTCTATTCACTTTAACTACTGCATTCCTCCCTATGTCTCCCACTCCCTTCATCTTTCCTCTGCTAACCTCCCTCTTGTTGTATATTGCATTCCCTGTCACCCATGTTAATATACCTCTATTCTCTAGCCCAGGGCTGGGGAATGTCTGGCCCTCTCAAAATCCTTTGGTCTGGCCCTGCCAAAGCAATCACAGTTCCAGGCATCACATTTGTTGTTGTTGTTGTTAAGTGCCGTCGAGTCGGTTCCGACCCATAGCGACCCTGTACAGGGTTTCCGAGGGTGTAAATCCTTACGGGAGTAGAAAGCCTCATCTTTCTCCCGCGGAGCGGCTGGTAGTTTCGAACTGCTGACCTTAAGGTTCGCAGCCCGATTCGTAACCACTACGCTACATTTAGGGTGAGTTAATTAAATCTTTGACCAAATATAGCAGGCTAATTTTTAAGTTAATAATTTTGTCTGGCCCGTGGATAATATTGTTGTTGTTGTTAAGTGCCGTCGAGTCGATTCCGACCCATAGCAACCATGTGTAGGGTTTCCAAGGAGCAGCTGGTGAGCTTGAACCACTGACCTTGCAGTTCAAACGACTTTGCAGTCTGACGCATTAGCCCACAGCACCACATCAATAGCTCGTGGCAGAAAAAAATTCCTCACCCTGCTCTGGTGGTGGTGATACTGTGCCGTGGAGTCGGTTCTGACTCATAGCGACCCTGTACAGGGTTTCCGAGGCTGCAAATCTTCACGGTAGCAGAAAGCCTCATCTTTCTCTCTCAGAACAGCTGGTAGTTTTGAACTGCTGACCTTGAGGTTAATGGCTCTACTTGTAACCACTACACTACCAGAGCTCCTTCACCCCTGCTCTAGCCCATGAAAAATTTCTCTCTCCCCAGCAACCTTGGTTTCTTTTATTAAGAAAACCTTTTCTTAACTGTTTACAACATTGTTGTTGTTGCTAAGTGCCTTCAAGTCGGTTCCGACTCTTGGCAACTCAGTGTAGGGTTTTGGTATCATATATTATTTGTCCTTTTGTGATTGACTAATTTCACTCAGCACAACGTCCTTCACTTTCACCCATACTGTGAGGTAGCTCCATAGCATTTCACTGTGTGTATGGACCATAGTTTGTTTAACCATTTTGTTGATGGGCTCTCTATCTTTTTGATGTGTCTTGCTCGTGTAGACAGCATATTGAAGGATCCTGTTTCCTTATCCATTCTGCTATCTCTACCTCTTGACTGGTGCATTTAATCCATTTACTTTCAGTGTAATTATTGATAAGTATGCTCCATGAAACCCTACATGGGGTTGATAGGAGTCCGAACCTACTTGACGGCACTTAACAACTATAACAACAACAACATGAATTGATTGCTGTCATTTTACTGTGGTTTGTGTGTGTGTGGTGCTGCTGGTTGCTTTGTTCCACATAATTTTTTTTTTAAGTTTTTATTGTGAGGTTTACATGGAAGAGCATCAGCTTTACACTCATCCTATCATATTTCGTTTAATTTAAATGATTACAGTCCCCTCCATGCATCATCAAATAACCAAAGGGCACATCACACAGGCCCACCCCCCGGCCACCAGCACACAGCCCTTCTCCCTCCCTGAGTCCAGTGTTCCCAGCTGCTCCATCTGTCCACATCATCATCTCTGTCTCCATCCCTGGCATCACTGCCTCTCTGAGTAGGGTCCTGC